CTGCTTTTGAAATTAAACAGAAGCAGCTTGGTGGAGCAAGTGTGTGCAGTCCTGGAGTTCTGGGAGGGAGGCTGAGGCAGAAGGATCCCGAGTTCTAGCCCAGCCTGGATTGATTTCAGCACTGAGGCTGAGTTTCCACATCAGCACAGTGTGGGGGCTTGCCCAGTGGGGCAGGCAGGGGTGGGAGTGGGAGGTGAGGTTAGGAGCTCAGGTCAGATGGTCATCTAGACTTCTCTCTTGTTTCTTAATCCTGTGTACTTTTCCCACTCAGGTTCTGGTGTTCCACTCTCTCCCACATGGGGAGAGAGGGAAGTCATTGACGTGTTAGTATAAAAGACATTTCTGGGGCCGGGGAGATGGCTCAGTGGAATAAGTGCTTCCCTGGCAAGCGCAAGGGTCTGAGTTCAATCTCTGGTTCTGGAAAAAAAAAAAAAAAAAAAAAAAAAGACACACTTCTCACGTGATTTGACTACAGGAACCTTAGCTTTTCCATCACCCAACATTCAGTCCTGAGCTACTTCTGCTAGGCACTACGACTCAAAGATAAAAAAAGCCCACCCCTGTCTTTGGGTAGGCACTGCACATTTCAGCCATGTGGTGGAGACAGGAGAAATAATACTGAACACTCAAGGCTGACAGTGGAAAGCTTGGGTGACACCTGAGAAATCAAAGCCTCAGGTACACAGGTTACCATGGTCACCTAGGACTCCTGGAACAGTTACTTTGGAAAACAGCATTTGTCTTGGGTTTGATCTTGGTTCAGATTCACAGCACTGCTTAGAGGGTAGAGCCAAAATGGTGCAATCTGTGAGCAGTAGGACCACGGGCAATAACCGCAACCTACAATCCCATCACTCAGGAAGCTGAGGCAGGAGGATCACTGTGAGATTGAGGCCAGCTTAGGCTAAGTGGTAAGACCTGGTTTGGAGGAAAAAAAAAGGGGGGGCCTGGGGAGATGGCTCAGTGGAATAAGCACTTCCCTGGCAAGTGCAAGGGCCTGAGTTCAATCCTGGGGGGGCAGGAATGGCTGGAGGAAAAAAAATCCCTGAGAGTTTATTGCTTCAAACTCTTCTCTTTTTTTTTTTTTTTTTTTTTTCAAACTCTTCTCTGACAGAGCCCATCACTCCAACTGTCCCCCAGGGCCCCCACTTTATAGATGGACTGGAATCCTCCCGTCTACCTACACTGTCTACTTAGTGTTAATAACCAGAGCTGTTGCTGAGCCAAGTTCTAAGTTCTAACCAGGACTGCAAGGACAGCCGTGCTCTGAGATACTGACTTCCTGGGCAGAATCTTGTCCCCCATCTTCGGAGCTTCAAGTAACTGTCCTCTTTGCCTCCCCTTTCCTACCTCTCCCTTGCTGTACAGCAGACTGAACCCAGGGCCTTCACACTGAGCTACTCCCCAGCCTCTATTTTTTTTTTGTTCTTTTTAAAAAAAATTTTATTGTGTGTGTGTGTGTATGTGTGTGTGTGTGTGTGTGTGTGTGTGTGTGTGTGTGGCCAGCCCAGCCCACCAGGGGGCGGGGCTGGCTGGCATGTGGTGCTGGGGGACTGAACTGCTGTCCCTGTGTTTTGCTAAGCTTGTTCTAAGTTGGTGCTTTAGACCACTGAGCCATCTCACCAGCCCCTAGCCTCTATTTTTTTCTGCTGGGATAGGGATACTGTAAATTGGTAAGTTGCTCCAATTGGGCTAGAACTTGGGATCCTTTGGCAGGCAGGGATCAGAAGTGAGTGAGGGGGGTCTGCTCTGAATTCTAGGCATTGTTTCTTTCAAATGGTTTTGCCAGCTTGTGATTGAGGTTTTAATTTCCTGTATCTTTTTGAATCTGCTTCATGCATTTTATTTCTTTGCATATCGCTTATTCAAGGATTCCATTTGTCTATTCTCTTCTATTTTTTATCAGTGTCTTCTTTATTTCTTTAATTTTTTTTTTTTTTTTTTTTTTTTCTAAAAGAAGAAACACTTATGAGCATTCTCAG